CTTGTAACAGGATGTATCAAGTAACTAGGGTCAGGAGTGTTATTCAAATCACATGTACTGTAAACTATTACATACATTCACTAGTAGTGGCAGTTAGTTCTGTCTGTATAGTGAAACAACATACAAGGATATATGTTGAAATATACTTGTTTGGAAGTTCCAAGAATTAATAATTAAGTACTGAAAAGCTTTCTTACTATCATATCAGTAATGATCAAATGCACCTGTGTTAGAGTGAATGAGAGTGACCGTCAAGAGGCTTAATACTTTACAGCAAATGTACGAAGTTCATGCTGCTAATCTCATGGTTATTTCAGCACAATAAACAAAATTACTGCTGTAATAGAACATAAACTTGTAATAAAAATACATTTATGAAACAAAATTAAAATGTTTTTATGTACATATATAAACATGAAATCCTAGTTAAAAATACAAAATACTTGTTTATTGTGTAGGTTTACTTAGAAATATTATTTTAGGGTCTTGTATATTACTTCAAACCATAAGGATAGTAAGTGATTATTAAAAAGAATTTAAACTAGACAAACTTTGCATTTTGTGGACACTAAAACGTTTTTAGACATTTTAAAATAATATACTAAAACATAAAAAGTAAGAAGTTCAAATCTTGAACAAATATATAAATATTGTAATAATTTCTTATAAGTACCATTTCCTAATGTAATTTTCCAAGGTATTAAAGATCATAATGCAAAAAAACTAAATTTATCATAAGTAACAGGCTTTATGTTTCTTAAACTACATGTATGTATGAAAGTTCTTTGGAAGTTGCAAACGATTTAATCCACTAGTTTTATTTTTGGTATGAAATATAGCAAGACTTGTGTTGGCTACACAAAGTTAGTAGCCGGTAGTACTCAGGTTAATGGGTAAGTGCCTCTTTCATACAATCTTGTAAAAGTTTTGGTTATATACTTCACATTTGAATTTGTTATTACTAATTAGAAGTTTACGATTCTCCTGATTTTCTACATTCTACTGTGTCTGCTGTTCAGATATTGTAAAAATCAGAAAATGTGATCAGAATTTTTTTAAATGTTGAAACTGTCATCTTTATTCCTGTGATAGTTTAAACTCTTGCAGCAGTTTTCCAATCATTGTTTTTTGTGGAAACACAAAAACAAATTGACAAGAGATGACACTTCTTGAACCCATGGCAATGCCATCAGCCTGATCATATAACTTTCCATTTAAAATAAAATTAGAGTTTTTATTGGAATAGTTAATTTCAAAAAAGCTTATTTTAGAATGTTTGCTTCCTCAAAATTATCATTGGAAATCAAATCAGTACTCAACTGTTTAGTCTCTTTTTGTAATGATATATTAGTGTACAGTGATTTGATGTCAAAGCTGGCACAATAAATGCTACTATCAGATTTTAGTTGCCATATTTCATGGCAAAACTCAAAGCTGTGTTCATTTGTGGTGACCTTCTACAAAAGACCAGTCAAAATAGTTATGAGTTCCAGTATTTAGATATTATCAGTAGTAAGGGGCATCTTTCTTTGTACATTTTTGGCATAGCTGTTCCCTGGTAGTGTAATATTCCAGTACTGTCTTTCATTAAAATGTTCTTATTCAGTTGTAGTAATTATTGTTTTAATTCCTGTTGTCAGTTGGATCATATTACAGTTTCACAAATTTAGTAGAGTTACTTACAATTTCTTCTATTTTTCTTACATAATCACTTTATCTAGAATAACATTACATCTTTATTTAGATATTTTTTTAAAGTTCATATTCTTCTGACTTAGATTTAAGAAGTGTTTGTAATCAATATTATAATCAGTGGTATAATTCTGACTACTTAGAAGCCTTTAATCTTTGACTATAAGTTAACTGATGTTCAAGAATTTAGTATCTGGTACACATTATCGTTTATGTTTCTTGACTAAAGTATATTGACTAATGTTTTTGAATTCGGTCTGGTGAACAAAATTAGTTGTGTTTTGTTTTTTTCACTAACTATTTGCCCATAACACAAGTTAACTGATATTCATAGATTTAATACAAGGTTAACAATATTTTTTAGTGTTTCTTCACAAACTTTTAGTTCACAGTATCAATAGCGTTTCTTTACTGACTGTTAGTCCACAGTATTACAAACCTTTTGTCACTTAGTATAAGATACAAAATGTTCTTAAACTCAGTATCTGGTAAACAATATCAGTGTTCTTTTTTCACTAATAATTAGTCCACAATATCACGAGTGTTTTCTTACTAACTGTAAGTGAAATAATGTTCATGAATTTAGTCTCGGCAAACAATATCAATAGTTTTTATTATTTAGTCTCGGTAAACAATATCAATATTTTTTGTTATTTAGTCTCGGTAAACAATATCAATAGTTTTTATTATTTAGTCTCTAAGTAAACAATATCAATAGTTTTTATTATTTAGTCTCGGTAAACAATATCAATAGTTTTTATTATTTAGTCTCGGTAAACAATATCAATAGTTTTTGTTATTTAGTCTCGGTAAACAATATCAATATTTTTGTTATTTAGTCTCGGTAAACAATATCAATATTTTTTGTTATTTAGTCTCTCGGTAAACAATATCAATAGTTTGTTATTCAGTCTCTCGGTAAACAATATCAATATTTTTTGTTATTTAGTCTCTCGGTAAACAATATCAATAGTGTTTTATTCAGTCTCTCAGTAAACAATATCAATATTTTTTGTTATTTAGTCTCTCGGTAAACAATTCAGATCTTTCAGGGATGTTCCAGTTTTTTTGAATGGAAAAAAAATTAAATGCAGATTTGTGAAGTATTTTCCAGATATGATTATTTTTTGTAAGCAAAACATCACTGGCTGTAAGGTGATAGTATCAGAAATATTTATTCTTACTGTAAATTCAAATACTTTTTATTCCTGGCAAACATTTCACTGATAGCCATAAATTCAAACCATGAAAGAGTTTCTATAACCTTTCATTACTCACTAATATTAATGAAGTCAGTTCCTGGCTGACAATATCAGAAGCCTTTTTCACTAAGTTCATAGTTTATCAAATACCATTTATCTCTCAATACAAGTTCACAGTACAAAAGTGTGTTTTTTTTTCAGTTCACTAATAGACAGAAAGTTACTCCTTTACAAAACGTTCTTAAAATATACAACTAAATAAAAAATTCATAATCTACTGTGCCTACAAAAGTGACATTAGTGTATCTACTAAAGTAATAGGGCATTTCTCATTATCATTGAAGTGACTCACTTTCATATGTCTTTTAATTAACTAGCCTGGTTATTGCATTATTTATACCCAAAAAACCTTTCTGTACATACAGATTGATGTAATGTGTGCTAAATTATCATGTAAGTATGTTTACTAATTCCCTGTGCATCATGGTCACATTCCACTACAGATTAAAATATGTCTTCTTTTTTTAATACCTTAAATCTTTGTACTTGGATGTATAACTTTTTTTTTTTTTGGCTTCAGATATTATTTTACAAAATTAAACAGAACTGTGGTCCTACATAAATTCTGTTGAATAGGCACTGTATGATCTAGACTTAATGGTTTTTGCTACTATAGACTAGAAAATGTGATCTATAGACTAGATCAATCAGGTGAAAATGTTTTTCTAAAGTTTTCTCATACTCTTGGAAGTTAGTATGGTAATAACAAACACTAAGATACAAAGTATCATATTTTATTTTATCTGATTATTGAAAGTTTAAGAAAAATATAGCTGTTTTATATAAAAGATGGAACTTGTTAAATTCTAAATAAAAATATATGAAATATATGCTGTGATTTGTTAAAGAAACATCATGATTTCAGAATTTTGAAAGGATTTATCTAAAACACCATAAAGCTTTTTTTAAGCAAGTTGAGTAATTAAAACAACAGAGAGAAAAAATTTTAAAGAGCTTGGGATTTTGTAAGATATATATATATATATATATATACA